ATAGCATTTAAACACTAAACATCACTGGGGTCTGTAGACATTCAGTGACATCATCATGGTGAACAAGTTTCTTCCGCAATGATCTTAAGTTTATGGTATTAGACAGTATCATTTTTCCTTGACTCTAACATTATGATGTTCTTGCCCATTTAGTTACAGGAGTAAGTGATTGCTACCTCCTCAAATGTGCACTGAAATCATCTGTGATTGTTTATCTACAGGGTCCAATCGATGATCTAATGTTTACAATGCATCCCAGGGGAACGCAGTGGGATTTTAACTCCACTAACTGGTAGATCAGATCGCAGAGTCATTACAGTGCAGGAGGAGGCCATTCAGCCCATTGTGCCACTTTTTTGATTCATTCATGGGATGAGGGTTTCACTGGCAAGGCCAGCACTTTTTGTCCATTTCTTTTCCTCCCCAGAGGGCAGTTAAGAGTCAACTACGTTGCTGTGGGTCTGGAGTCACATGTAGGCCAGACCAGGTAAGGGTGGCAGTTTCCTTCCCTAAAGGACATTAGTGAACCAGGTGGGTTCTCCCAACAATTAGCAATAGATTCGTAGTCATCTATAGACTCTTAATTCTAGATTTTTATTGAATTCAAATTTCACCATCTGCCATGGCAGGATTCCCCAGAACATTATTCGGGTGTCTAGATTAACACTCTAGTGATAGGACTACTAGGTCATCACCTCCCCTGCACCAGCTCTATTACTTAGTGCCAGTCTTCAGCCTTTACCCTATTTCCCTACATATCATTACTATCCAAACAATCATCCAATACCCTCCTGAATGTTTCAATTGATCCTGCCTCCAGCACATTTCCAGGCAGTGCATTTTATTCCCTAACCATGCACTGATGTTTCTCACATCACCCTTGCTTTATTTACACATTATTTTAAATCTCTACCCTCTTGTTTTTGTTCCTTTTACAAGTGGGAGCAGCTTCTCCTTATCTCTTCTATCCAGCTCACTCATCGCTCTGAAAATTCGATCAAATCTCCCCTCTGCTACCTCATGCTCCCACGAGGAGCTTGAACAGTTCATCAACTTTACCAACACCTTTCACCCCAACCTCAAGTTCACCTGGACCATCTCCGATACCTCCCTCCCCTTCCTGGACCTCTCCGTCTCCATCTCCAGTAACCGTCTCAGCACCGACATCTATTTCAAGCCCACCGACTCCCAGAGCTACCTGGACTATACCTCCTCTCACCAACCCTCCTGCAAGAATGCAATCCATTAGTCCCAATTCCTCTGCCTCCACTGCATCTTTTCTCAAGATGGAGTGTTCCACTCTCGCACATCCCCGATGTCCTCCTACTTCAATGACTGCAACATCCCCCCTGCATTGATCGAAAATGCCCTCAACCACATCTCTTGCATTTCCCGCGCTTATGCCTTCACACCCCCTCCCTCCAACAAAAATAAAGACATAATCACCCTTGTTGTCACATACCACCCCACCAACATCCGCATCCAACGTACCTTTCTCCGCCCTTTCCGCCACCTACAATCCGACCCCACAACTAAACAGATATTTCCCTCCCCACCCTTATCTGCCTTCCGTAGGGACCATTCACTCCACAACTCCCTCGTCCGCTCCACACTCCCCACTAACCCCACCACCTCCGGCACTTTTCCCTGCAACCGCAGGAGGTGCTACACCTGCCCCTACACCTCCCCTCTCCAAGGCCCAACGCAAACTTTCCATATCCGACAGGGGTTCACCTGTACATCCTCCAACCTGGTATACTGTATCCATCGCTCCCAATGTGGTCTCCTCTACATCGGTGAGACCCAGCATAGACTTGGTGACCAATTTGCGGAGCATCTGCGCTCTGTATGCTATAATCAACAACACCTTCTGGTTACTAACCATTTTAACACCCCCCTCTCACTCCCTGGGTGACATGTCCATCCCGGGCCTCCTCCAGTGTCACAATGACGCCACCTGCAAACTGGAGGAGCAGCACCTCATATTCCGCCTCAGGAGCCTACAGACCAATGGCATAAACCTGGGTTTCACCAGTTTTAAAATCTCCCCACCCCCGGCCTCATCCCATGTCCAACCTCCCTCTCAACCCCACCTCCTTGACCTGACACTGCCTGTCCATCTTCTCTCCCCACCTATTCACCCCACCCTTCCCACTGACCAATTCCCACTACCCTTACCTGCACTCATCTATCACCATCACACCTCCCTTTCCCCAGCCCCACCCCTCCTCCCTCTATTTATTTCCCAGCTCCCTTCTCCCTCCCCAGTCCTGATGAAGGGTCCCGACCCAAAACATTGAATTTCCTGCTCCTCTGATGCTGCCTGGCCTGCTGTGTTCCTCCAGCTCCACACTGTGTTGACTCTGACTCCAGCATCAGCAGTTCTTGCTATCTCCCCTCTGCCTTTGTCACTCCAAGGAGAACATTCCCAATTCTTCAACCTATCTTCGTAACTGTTAGTCCAAATATGGTGATTGAGTCGGGGGAGGGCTGCAATTAGTCACCCTGATGAGGGTCTCACCAACTGGTGGGAGTATTGATGGGGAACCCACGTTATTTCTATAGAGGCGTCACCCTCCTGCTCTTAATACTGCGCACGTGCCACCACCACCCCCTATCACTTTGATGGCCCCCATCTTGGTCCATAATCCTGTGCCTCTGGTGGGCTTGCTTCCTTTTCTTCTGAAACTGAGGGTGACGTCCTTCCACTGTGGAGTTGTGGGTCTTGAGGAGATGAAAAAGTCCAACATTGGATAACATATCACAGGTGGGACAGATGGTATTTGAAGAAGTGAGAAGGATGGTGCATTGCCTACTGTAAGTGCCCAACTAGCCACTATCGGGCCCTCCTCAGCTTTCAGGTCTGGAGTGGCAGAAGTCCCACCCCATCAAGAGCTGGCGACCTATCAGAATCAGCCATTCTCAACTGCTCATTACTGCCATTGAGAATGATGGCCACTGTTGGTAATGCACCCACTTGAGTCCCAGGCTCACTGAGGGATTTAGGTCAAAGGTGAGTAAGGAGTGGATGGGGATCAGAGGGTGGGGAGGGAAACCCTGATAGGTGGTGGCAGGTGGGTTGGAGATAGGGGCAATTGGATGCTTTCCTCTGCCACTCCTTCCCCCTACCAGCCCACCAATGCTCAGTGACAGCGGTGTGTACCATTTACAAGTTGCACTGTAACAACTCACCAAGGCTCCTTCCGCAGCACATTTCAAACTTGTAACATCTATCCTATAGAAGTTCAAGGCCAGTGGATACATAGGAACACCACCCCCTGTAAATTCCCACCCACCCTGACTTGGAAATGTATCACCGTTCCTTCAATATTGCCGGGTTGAAGTTCTGGATCTGCCTGCCTATCGTTACTGTGGGTGTCCCTACATCCCCAGGGACTGCAGATATCCAAGAGACACCTCAACACCATTTTCTCTAAGGCAATTATCACCGCAGCAAATGCTAGCCCAGTCAGCAAGGCCCACATACAATGGAAGAGTAAATTTAAAACAAACGAGAACTCTTAGCTCATATTAAATGGAGATCCTCAAACGTGTTATCCATGCAGGAAGTTTGGAGCCTATTTCCTACCAGAAGGATTAATGTTAACAGTTATGGTGGCAACTCAACAACATTAAACAAAAACAGAAATTGCTGGCAAAACTCAGCAGGTCTGGTAGCATCTGTGGGAAGAAAGCAGAGTTAACATTTCGAGTCCAATGACTCTTCATCAGAACTGTTCCTAGAGCCTGAAAGGAAGAGAAAAAGTTTCTTGTTAGAACGTTGAATGAGCCAAAGAATGAAGTTGAACTGGGTGTGTGGGGTGAGGTGGGGGCGGCTCTGAGCCAGGGTGAGGAGGTAGTGGTGGAGAGACCGTGGTCGAGAACGTGCGTTTGGCAATGGGTGACACTGACTGTGGATCTCAGCGAGAACAGCTGTCTGAGGGACATTGTAAATCACGGAGATACCTGCGATCCTGGGTGAATGTGAAACATCAAGAAGGAAAATCAACAAATTCTAGGAGATAAAACAAAAGTAATGTTGGAGAAATCCTATTGGATGGAGGAGCAGAACTTCTTCAAGGTACCTGGAAGAAGTGTAGCAGTGAGTTAGACATGAAAACAAGACAAAAAATTGCTGATGCTGGAGTTCTGGTGTGGAGTAACCTGACTCCAAATGTTAACTCTTCCCTCAGATGCTGCCAGACCCGCTGACTTTTGGCAGCAGGTTCTGTTTTATTTCAACAACACTAAAGACCAGCTTTTATTTAAACAATGGGCTCATCCACTGTTCCAAAGTATGGAAAAACACGGACACCTATTCAACTTGGCATAGCACTGAAACAGTGACAGTAAGCTGACAAACACCTACACAGCTCCTCCTTTTCAGATCCTAGAACACCAGCCCTTTATACAAGTTCCCAATCTTCATTTCTCAGTTCAATGAAGAGTAGGCAGGGACTGCAAAGAACAGGCAATTCATCTGATTACTGCCCAGACGTGATAACAGAAATCTCCTCCGAAGCCTTCTATGGGCACAGCAATTCAAGGGTTTTGCATTAAGTGATATAGACAATAAGTGGTATAAATCAATAATCTGGTCCTGAATCACAAGTCAATATCTCATATCAGTGCAGCAAGTCAATTGCCTAGCGTAGTTTTATATGACAACAATCTAGACTGAGCACTAATCAATAGTCTAGTGTAGTCAATGATGGAAAAACCTTAAGTTACTGTGAGACAAATAGAATACTTTTTCATCTGGATGATAATTGATATGAAATTTGTTTGCTATTTTGATGGAGAAGCTGCCAATTGAATTTAGATGAGACAATGTCTGTGTTGAAATGGAAGGCAGAAGTAATTCTGTATGAATGCATCTCTCTGTTCTGCAAATGAATATTGAAAAGGGTCAAATTTAGGGTCATGGGCATGAGAAAATAATATTTCAGGGAGTGAAGAGCCGTTTTGAGTGCTGTGAGATTAGAGAGGTTCACGTTTACCTGGGCACAGTGTGGTGCAGGCGATTTTCTGAACGCTCTGTCCCTCGCAGAAGGCTCCTCCATTGAGGGGCGCGGGATTGGTGCAGGTCCTTGTGCGTTTCTGGTAACCCCTTCCACAGCGACTGTTACAGAGAGACCACTCTGTCCACACTGACCAACCACCGTTAACTAGGGGTAGAAGAGAAGGTGATAGGGTGAGATGTCACTGAGGCAGTGTCCTGCACAGATCGGGAAACCAGGTCACAGAACATCAAATCAGTACACACTGACCCAACTGGATCCCACACCACACCATCCAAACTCAATAACGCTTGACATGATGGATAATAAAACATTGTTAACAAATCACATTTTTCAAGCAGAACTGACTGTGAGACTCTAATGGTTTGAGTGAATTAATTTTGTGGGGGACATATTCTAAAATATGTTGGAGGAAAAGACTAACACCTTTATGACCTCTGGGCATCCTACGACACTACTCAGAATTTATTTTGCTTTAAGAGGAGGTGCTGTTACACTACATTCAACGTGGCAACTATTTTGCACACAGTTCTTTCCCACAAATAATGAGGGTAACTGACCAGATAACCTCTTTTTTATTGAGGTTGGTTGAGAGATATATGTTAGACCAATATAACAGAGAGAGCTGCCCTGGTCTACTTTAAACTGATGCCATACCATCTTTGGAAGCCACTTGGGAACAGTAACATCCTTTACCTAAAACAAAGATGCTGGAAATTTGAAATGTAAATGGAGGTAGCTGGAGTTACTCAGCAAGTCTGGCAGCATTTATGGAGACAGAAACAGAGTTAATGTTTCAGGTTCAGTGATAATTCTTCAGAGAAGGGTCACCGGACTTGAAATGTTGACTCTGAATATGAACCTGATCAAGCACATCAGAGTTAGGACAAGGAGAAAGCCATTAATCCCTCTTGAGACCTCCTTTATCCTTCAAATAAATTATTTTTGATGTGGACACCAGTCCTCCACCTTTGCAATGTACACCTTCATGCTGTCTCAGAATAAAGACACACCAATTTATTTACTTATATTTTCTTTAATTCATTCACGGGATGAGGGCGTCACTGGCCAGGCAGCATTTATTGCCCATCCCTAATTGCCCAGAGGGCAGCTAAGAGTCAACCACATTGCTGTGGGTCTGGAGTCACATGTAGGCCAGACCAGGTAAGGACGGCAGTTTCCTTCCCTAAAAAACATTTCGTGAACCAAATGGGTTTTTCCTGACAATTGGCAATGGATTCACGATCATCATTAGATTCTTAATTCCAGATATTTATTGAATTCAAATTCCACCATCTGCCGTGGTGGGATTCAAACCCAGGTCACCCCAGAATACAATCTGGATGTTTGGATTAACAGTCCAGCAATAATACCACGAGGCCATCGCCTCACTGAGCTGAGGAGAAATTTCTTCTCTCAGAGGGATGAGTCTTTGGAATTCCTTGCCACAGAGAGCTGTGGGGGCAGAGTCCCTTTGTATATTTAAGGCTGAGGTAGATAGATTCTTAATGAGTCAGGGAATCAAGGGTTACAGGAAAGAGCAAGAAAATGGACATGAGGAATGTCAGATCAGCCATGATCATATTAAATGGTGGAGCAGGCTCAAGGGGCCAAATGGCCAACTTCTGTCCCTATATTTTATGGTCTCTAGTTACTGGATAAACATGTATCCATTTTAATTCTAAATGTCTAATTAACCCCAGATTCAATGACCTTTTAGAGATGAGAATTCCAGATTCCTTTTCCTATTTGTCTGCAAGTACTTCCTGATTTACCTCCTGAACATCCTGATTCTAATCTACATGTTCTAGCCCCTCATTCTTTACTATTTGAAATACGTTTCTCTGTGGTTGCCTTTTTAAAACCTTTTAATGTAGTATTTTAAAGACCTCAATCAGATCACAGCTTAATCTTGTGTAGTCCTATCATTAGAAACCAGGTTTATGTAAACTGTCTGTGTAATTTGACACTTTAAACCCGTGGCATTCTAGTGGATCCGAGACAACAAGGTGCAGAGCTGGATGAACACAGCAGGCTAAGCAGCATCATAGGAGCAGAAAGGCTGACGTTTCAGGAAGGGTCTAGGCCCGAAACGTCAGCCTTCCTGCTCCTCTGATGCTGCTTGGCCTGCTGTGTTCATCCAGCTCTACACCTTGTTATCTCAGATTCTCCAGCATCTGCAGTTCCTGCTATCTCTCATTCTAGTGGATGTTCACTGCACTCTTTCTTTCAGTATCTTTTCCGAGTTGAGAACTGAACTCGGTGGGTCCTGACCATGGCTCCATTCTATTTTAAATTCCGGTTCTCTTGAGACAAAGACCAATGTTCTATTAGCCTTCTTAATTGCTTTTTTTGTACCTGTCTGCTTGGTTTAATGATTCATGTATTCAGACTCCCAAAGCTCCACAATCCTAATTTCACAACATTTGGAAATTTGACGTAATGCCACAGATGTTGATTGCATTCAAGGTGTTTTGTCCCTTGCCTTTAAGCATGCTTTCACAGTGTCAATACGCCAGGCACAAAATACTTGGCAATGGATAATTATAGAATCTTGGAGTCAAAGAAATCTACAACACAGAAAAAGGACTTACGTTCCAGTGTGTCTGCACCAATTAAAAACAATCACCTAACTATCCTAATCCTTTTTTCCAACACTTGGCCCATAGCCTTGTATGCCTTGACATTGCAAGTGCACATCTTAAACATAATGAGGGTTTCTGCCTCTATCACCCATACAGGCAGTGAGTTCCACTACCCTCTGGGTAAGAAAGTGTTTCCTTACACTTTCTTTACATCTTCTGCCCTTTACCCTAAATCTATGCCACCCTGCACCCATCCCCGCCCTCCCCACCCCTCTCACTGGTCATTGTTGCCCGTAACGAGGGGAAATATTTCTTCCTGTCTACCTTGTCTATGCCCCTCATAATTTTCAGTTGTCACTGCGCTAAAGTAAACAAACCCAGTCTGTCCAATCTCTCTTCCCGTCTAATCTTACAACATTAGAAGACCATTCAAGCTATCATGTCCCTGCTGGTTCTTCAGAACATGTCAATCAATCAATCAATTTCACATGATCTTTCCCCATTGGCCTATCCATGGCACCTCCTTAAACACAGATTCAACCTCCTTTTGAAAATTACAATTGAATCTACTTCAACCATCCTTATAGGGAGTGCATCCCAGATCTCTCCTCCAAAACACCCCTGATTCTTTTGGCCATAAATCTTAAATCCGCCTCTTTTATTTTAACCAAGTCCCCCTGCCATGGGGAACAGTTCCTCCTCATCAAACCTGTCAGAACTTCCCATAATTTCTGACGTTTTGGTCAAATCTCCTTGAATCTTTGTTGTAAAGAAAGCATGGGGCAGTGATGGTGATATCAAGTGTTGCCCTTCATAACCTTCTCCAGGACAATCAGGAACTGGCAATACATGCTGGCTTAGCCAGTGATTCCCATACCCCATAAATGAATGAAAATAGTGAACGATCCCAGCTTCCCAGGTCTTGTCTCCAGAGCAGGAGGTGAAAGACTGTGTCATCTGCTTCAGTAAGTCTTGAACCATCCTTGTATACAGGGGGGTCATAATGATAATGTAAAACAAATTACAAATCAGTGTTTCAATCTCAACCAGGGAGGATTGCGGACCTAGACTGAGAAAGATGCAGTAGGCAACCCAGAGGACTTTACCATGATGTAACTGAGAGAATTAACTTATAAGGAGACCCTATAAAAGTGAAAACTGCTCACCTTGGCACAGGGAAGGTTAAGGGATGACATTATCAATAATGTTTTGAAGGAGATCAAAGGGGAAATGTTGGGAAGGTGATTGCCTAGTGGTATTCTCACTGGACTGTTAATCCAGAGGCCCAGACAATGTTCTGGGGACCCAGGTTCGAATTCTGCCACAGCAGATGGTGGAATTGGAATTCAATAAATATCTGGAATTAAAAATCTAATGATGAACTGAATCCATTGTTGATTGTTGGAAAAACCCATCTGGTTCACTAATGTCCTTAAGGGAAGGAGACTGCCATCCTTACCTGGTCTGGCCTACAAGTGACTCCAGACCCACAGCAATGTGGTTGATGCTTAATTGCCCTCTGGGCCATTAGGAAAGGGCAATAAATGCTACCTAGTCAGCGATGCCCTCAACCCGTGAATGGATAAAGGAAGAAGTTCTGTTGGACATGTTAGTCAAAAATATGGAGGTCATAAATTCAAAATTGAGAAAGGAAATGAGGAGATTTTTGTTTTCAATCACAGTTGCTGGGATCTGGAATACTGTACTTGAAAAGATGGTTTAAAGTTGATTTTTTAAACAGTTCTAAAAAGGAATTAAACAACGTGAGCAAAAGAAATATGAATTTGAAGCTCTTCACCTTGCTCTCATCAGGGCAGAAATGTAAGAAAACCAACTTCAGGAAGGGAGCAACAACTTATCCGAGCATTTCAAACCTACAAGATTCTTAAGTGACTTAACAGCATAGATGCTGGGAGGTTGTTTCCGCCTGTGGGACAGTCTAGGGCCAAAGTGCATCATCTCAGAATTAAGAGTCACAATTTTATGATCAAGATGAGGAGGAGTTTCTTCTGTCAGAGGATAGTGAATCTGGGGAATTCTTTACTGCAAATGGTGGTTGAGGTTGAGTTATTAAGCATATTCAAGGCTGAGATAGACAGATTTTTAATCAGTATGGGAATCAAGGACTATGGGGAAAGGGCAAGAAAGTGGAGTTGAGGATTATCAGATCAGCCATGATCTCATTGAATGGTGGAGCAGAATCGAAGGGCTGAATGGTCTACTTTTGCTTCTACATCTTATGATCTTATGGAGAAGAGGGTGTTGATTGGTTGCAATAACAGTACTGTTTAGCCCTCCTCAGTGACGAAGGCTCACTGTGTGGATGCACTCTTGCTTTCTACAAAGAATAGAGCTCAGTGCCAATAAATGCAGATTCTAACAAATTAATGATCATGAATTGTTTTCCAGCTTAATTATTTTCATAATCAGGATTATTTGATGTTAACTTTTCGCGTCCAGTGACCCTTCCTCAGAACTGGCTCTGCGGTAGGTTCACTGGATCTGAAACGTTAACTCTGATTTCTCCTCACAGATTCTGACAGATCTGCTGAGCTTTTCCAGCAACTTTTGTTTTTGTTCCTGATTTACAGCATCCGCAGTGCTTGCAGTTTTTATTTCGGATTATTTAGTATTTGTTTTCCAATGGCAGGAGTCGAAGAGGTTTCCGAGATGGGGATCATATATGGTTGTGGCCAGTCAACAAAGATGTGGGACTAATCATGGCCATTCCATCAAAGAGATAGTACAGACGTGAGTGGCTGAATGACTGCTGTGCTGGTGATTTCTATGATTCTCAAACACTGCCGGTGTCCAAAGAAGTAGCCGACATCTTCAATTTTCCACATCTTCCTTTTTCCAGATGACTGGAGGGGATATTTGTGGTGACTCCCAGTTTGCCTGTTGCTGTGGCAGGGTGGCCGTAAATTAAATATGATAGCGGGGTTAAGAGGGTCGCTTCCCCATCGAAGGGACATTCACAGAGGTATTCACACACTGAGTAATGCATATATTGGAGTGATCACCCTCAATAAATAAGGCAGAGAAATGATGATGTGCAGAATAATGAAGGCATGGGAAATTATCTGTTGAACCAGTAGAGTGAATTGAAAACTGGAATCCATGTGTCACTGTTATTTATAGTCTGTTTTTCAGTTCTGAGCTCATGAAGTCATTACACATAAAGTGTTCTTGGAGTAGTTATTGCTCCTAAGAGATTAAACTCGGATCATACACTCCCAGTAACTAGATTATTTTAACAAGACAACATGTAGCATTTTACTACTTTCGCAAGCTGTCTCTTCAAAAGTGAGGAAACTATGGAAGTCAGCAAACACAGCTCTGTAAAACAGGAGCAAGTGTCATAAATTACAAGTTTAGCAGACCTTTTAATCCATTTTCTAAATAATTCCAATTTGACACAGTAAAATGTCTCCAACCATCAGCTGCTTTTGGTCTATGACATTAAATTATCTCCAGACCAAACTGTCAACTGGTGAAATTTTGTATGTGAAAATGCACCGAACTCTGATGAATATATCGCCAGTGAAGAATTAGATTTGTGACGAGACATGGCAGGGCTGAGACAATTTAATTTGCAACTGATTAGCTCAATGGAATTGAGACGATCATTTAATTGAAGGATTGAAGACAGTATAATTAAGTGAAATTTAATCACACAGATTCCAAAGTAAAAATATCTTCCTTCATAACGCACTTAAGATGCTTTGAACAGGGCATACACTTTCAGTAACATCCCCCAAAATCTATTTTCTTATTAAAGATTTCTGACATAATGGCTAATTCTTCATCACCTCATTACTTTCTGCCTCACTGTCTTGCTTTTCATTAGCCGGAGTGTTGTCACTGCCACGGTTTCAGAGGATCGCAGTGGAAGTTTGGCCATTTGACATGCAGCATTTAGGCCCACCCACAAATCGACCTACCCCTGCTCCTTATGAACCGAGCTCCCAGTGATGGGCTGGTCATAAAGCTCTGGGTCAGTGTAAAGTGCGTTAACTTACCATAGACAATCACGGTCGCTGTGGTGCTTCTCCGCCTGGCCACGATATTTTTGGCGACACACGTGTAGTTTGCGGTATCAGAGAGCCGAGCCTGTTTGATGATGAGGTTATGGTCGATGGTCAGGTAAAAGTTTCGGTCCTGGATTGGGTCAATTACCTCATCGTTCTTCAGCCATTCCACCTTGAATTTAAGAGATGAGGCTGGCACTGTGACAATTTGTAAACTATGAATCACCCATATCTTCGAGAACCAATATCATCGGGCGCAACACGGCTGTATCAATCTAAACATACTCACAGTCTCATCAACAAATGCTGTCTCAATCAAAGTGTGGTATCAGTGATGAGATGCAGAACACAGCCATTCAATGGGGAAGATTTGCAAGGATGAATCCTAATAAGACCTGAGCTGGCTCATGTTGGTTTAATGAGGAGTAAGGGCAATATGATAAATCTCAGCATTTCCAGGTTAAGACGGTGGACAAGAGCAAATTTATTCAGAATTTATAAACCTGTTTATGACAGTAGAAAGTGCATGAACTCTTCATGACCATGGGTTTTGGGTCCCAAGATTGCTACAGTGAAAGTTTTTTGTTGGTCAAAAGATGAGAAACAGAAGGCAGGTATAGATGGGCATTTCTCAGATTGGAGACATGTTGAAAGTGGTGTTCCCCAGTGTTTGGTGTTAGAACCCATGCTTTTTATGATTTACATGAATGATTTGGAGGTGGGTGTTGAAGGCAAAATCCCTAAATTTGCAGATGATAATAATCTAGGGAGAATAGTGAATTGTGAGGATGATATAACAACCTCAGAGAGACATTGACAAGTTGGTCAAACAGGCAGATGCCTGGCAAGTGAATTTTCAATGCAGGGAAATGTGAGTAATGCATTTTGATCGAAGAAACAGACAATACAGGCTCAATGGTACAACTTTGAGGGGAGTACAGGAGCAGAGGGACCTCAGGGTTCATGTGCATGATTCTCTGAAGATGGTCAGGCAAGTTGAAACAGTTGTTGAAAAGGCTTATAGAATCCTTGGGTTTATTAATAGACGTGTGGAGTATAAAAGCAAGGAAGTGATGCTATTCCTCTACAAATCATTGGTCAGATCATATTTGGAGTACTGTGTCCTTTTCTGGGCACCTTATTTAAGGAAGGATGTTGAAGCCCTGGAGAAAGTGCAAAGTAGATTTACCAGAATGACACGAATAAATAAAGGATTTTAGATACAAGGAAAGATGAACGAACTTGTGCTTATTCTCCTTGGAGCAGAGATTAAGAGGTGACCATATTGAGGTATTCAAAATCATCAACAATTTTGACAGGGTAATGAAAGATATTCTGCTTCCACTAGTTGGTATGTCAATAACTGAGGGTCACAATTTCAACATTACCAGCAAAAAGTGCAGAGCGAGATCAGAAACTTTTTACTCAGAGAGTCACTAGGATTTGGAATGCGCTGCCTGGGAGATGGTGGAGGCGAATTCCATAGGAGGTTTCAAAGAGAGCTGGATATATATTTGATTAAGATAGAGGGCTACGGAGATAGGGCTGGAGAATGGGACTAGCTGGATAGCTCTTTTGGGAGCCAGTACAGAAACAATGGGGTGGCACGGTGGCTCAGTGGTTATCGCTGTGTAGATTAGGGGCATGGTTCTGGATGGGATGCTCTGAGGGTTGGTGTGGACTTGTTGGGTTGAAGGGCCTATTTCCACACTGTAGGGATTCTATGAATAGGCTGAATGGCCTCTTTCAATACTGTAATATTCTATTCTATGTTTACAGCAAGACCTGGCCACTTGCATTGGTGCACTGGAAAGCTGTTGGAAAACTTATCTTGAAACTCTGACGAAGAGTCATACATTGGAGATGTACAGAACTTTGGTCAGGCCTCAGCTGGTGTATTGTGTACAGTTCCACACTATAGGAAGGGTGTGATTACACTGGAGAGGAGATTCACCCAGGATATTGCCCGGAGCTTAGCGATGAAGAGAGACTGGATAAGCTCGGGTTGTTTTCCTTGGAGCAGACAATGCTGAGGGGGGATCTGAAACAGGTGTATAAGATGATGAGGGGCATAGACAGAGTCAGTAGAAAGCAGTTGTTTGCCTTGGTCAAAAGGTCAAGAACACGGGGGCAGAATTTTAAAGTGAAAGGCAGGAGGTTTAGAGGGAATTTGAGGAAAAACATTTTCACCCAGAGGGTAGTAGGAATCCGGACTGCATTGCTTGGGAGTGTAGTTGAGGCAGGAAACATCACAACCTTTACAAAGTACTTGGATGAGCATTCTAAATGTCATAACATTCAAGGCTATGGACCCAGCGCTAGAAAGTGGGATTAGTGGAGGTAGCAATATATTTTTGGTAGTACAGACTCGATGGGCTGAATGGTCTTTTCTGTCCTGTATGATTCTGTGACTCAAAACATTAACTCTGTTTCTCTCCACAGGTGCTGCAGGACCTGCTGAGTATCTCCAGCTTTCTCTGTGATTGCAGCTGTAACAGCAATATTGGCTGAAAGGCATCTCGGGGAAATCCTGAGGTGATAGAAAGAGCTACGTCAATGCAGACTACAGCGTTCTTATTTGCTGAATTCATGCCAACATGAATACAACACATTTGGTTCTTTCTCCCATCTTAACAACACTATAGGCATCCCTACACCATATGGACTGCAATTATTCAAAGTTTGGCTCATCACCAACTTCTCAAGGGCACTTGAGGAAGGGTAACAAATGTTGGCTCAATCAGCAATGCCCACATCTCCTGAAAGAATTTTTTTTTTAAGAAGTGATCCTAATTTAAATCATGCCCTTTTCCCAAAATATCTTGCTAAAGTCACAGTTTCAGAAGCGACACGACAACTTGTCCTGCCCTGTTTTTGTACACGCTGTGTCTTTAAGTCTGACCAGGTCTCTGTTCCCATCAGCAGCCAGGCTCTCTATGATGAAGCATTTACCATCACCTCTGTACGCAGCATTCTCACTGAAACACTTTCACAGGCTGCGGCTGGCCTCTGAGGCATTGGAGGAGGTCGAGGATGGAGGGGGTGGGGAGGAGGGTGTGTGGGGGTTAAGAAGCCCATTAGGGAGGCTTCAGATGGCCAGTGAGTGAATTAGTTCAGGCCCAAGGCTGTTGTCGGTGGACATTGATCGAATTATGGTGGCTGGGTTTATCACATTGGTCACCCAGGGAGCTGCAAACTGCCATTAGTCCCTTAACAAAGACAATGCACCTTATCCTCGCTGGGCTTTGAAACTATTAACTGCAAATCGCATGGCAACTGCGCATCTCTCTGCATTCTCACATCCCTCTCGCTCTCCCAAAAATCCCCAAAGTAATACCCTTTTATCCACCTAAGAAATCTGCTTTTGATGTTCCCTCCATTGAAAGGCTCTCAAATAATTAGTCTGTAATAAATTTCCCTATTTCGATAATTACTCGTTTAATCAAATCCTCCAAAACATGATGTATTTCCTCAGACAACAAGGTGCAGGGCTGGATGAACACAGCAGGCCAAGCAGCATCATAGGAGCAGAGAGGCTGACATTTCGGGCCTAGACCCTTCATCAGAAATGGGGGAGGGGAAGGGGGTTCCGAAATAAATAGGGAGAGAGTGGGAGGCGGATAGAAGAGGGATAGAGGAGAGGATAGGTGGAGAGGAAACAAACAGGTCGAAGAGGCGGGGATGGAGCCAGTAAAGGTGAGTGTAGGTAGGGAGTTAGGAAGGGGATAGGTCAGTCCAGGGAGGACGGACAGGTCAAGGGGGCGGAATGAGGTTGGTCGGTAGGAGATGGAGGTGCGGCTTGA